GATAGAGAGGGAGAGGGTAAATTAAACAAATACTAATTGGTGTGAACTATAACATTTTGGCGAAACCGAAACCAAAATCAAAGCTACAAGGGCTTAATGCGGAGGACCCGCAATCCTCAAACACCTCTAAATTGGGAACTGAGAATCAAATAACATGGATTAAATTTAGCAGCTAAAAAACACCCACTATCAGGAAATACATTATTCCGCGACATTAATCCCCTAAAATACACAACAACCACACTAATTTTCAGCGATTAAAGAATACCCAAATGCTTCAACGAGTCTCAACTCCTTGGGGATGCAGGCTCGAGCAATTTTCCCCTTCACAAGATGCAGTTGATACAAGGCTCTAAACAATAGGGGAATGTCAAATCAAATCAGAGAACTCTTTAAGAAGAAAACAAAAAAGAACAAATCTATAAGAGAAGAGTAAATGGGGCACTAAATTACCTGCCTCTAAATGTCCATGGAGGCCTGCCATAACCCGGTGAACAATTTCTTTCTCCAACTTCCATGGAGGCTCTGCTCCGACTCAGGGTGTTTCCTTCGAAGGGGAAGAAGAGGGAAACGGAGAGCCATTCACATGCAGGATAAGGTATGGAGGTTGCTTGTTATCAGTGAATTTTTTTAAAAACAAAAAAAAAAGGGAAAAAGGTAATTCCACGTGGCACCATTTTGAGCAGCATGGCAGTCGAGTCAGCAATTGCATAGCCATACGTTTTCTAACCAAACACACACTACTGACTTTTTTTTGGAAGATTTTTCTAGAAATATAAAATTGGGAATTTGCAGTCCTTTTTTAGACTATTTATAGAATTGTGGGTTATTATTATTATTTTTTAGTATTTATTTATTATTATTATTATTATGATTGGCTGTCTAACAAAAGTAACTATTTGACAAGTTTAAACGCTTTGTCTAAAATGTTTTTCACTTAAAAAGCACTTTTGTTTTATATCTATTCTAGAATTCTTCAAACTTTTTTTTCATCGCAAGAACTCCTCTTATCCGAACGTTGGAGTCGTCACCAATCATGTTAAAGGTGTGATTGATCATCCAATTAGAAAAAATTATAGAAAAAATTTGTATACGAAAATTGATAGAATCCTACAACACCTGTGAAAACGATTACCGGTACTTTATTTTTTATTATCCAAATTATTGAAGGTCCAAAAAAGTTTATTTACTTTATTTTCCAATGTCTCAGGTTTATTAATCTACATTTTAGAAATAAAACATGGATTAATAATTATGGGTGGCCTAAATACCATTAAAAATATGAGAAAATTATCTTTGGGTGAAATTTTATGTATTTAAGGAATTCAACATATTCCAAAAAAAGTGAACACTACTCAATCTCCATTTTATTTTATTTTTTAAAATTGTTAGTGGTTTTTCAAATTTTGTTTTAATTGTTTTAGGAAAAAAAATTAATTAGTGAAATTCGTTTTAAAAGGGGAATTTCATGTATTTACGGAATTTATTTGAAAACCCAGGACACGACTTTGCTCTCCAAAACTTTAATGTATTTGTGAGTTTTAAAAAATTCACAGGGTGAACACTACTAGTTCTCAAATCTAATTTTTTTATATTTGTGAAAACCAAAACTTTTTTTTGGAATTTTATAAAACTAATTTGGTGAAGAATTTGGTGTATTTAGGACCATTTAAGAAAAATTTATAAAGACAACATTACTCAAATCTAAAAAATTTAATATTTAAAATTTAGAAATCATTTAAAGTTTTGTTATATTTTGTGTAAACAAAATGATTTTGGACGTTTGTAAAAACTAATTTGGTGGGGAATTAAACGTTCCAAATCTAAAAAGCATTTAAAATTTGGATGCACGAGATTTCATTGGGTTTAAAAGTAAGAAAAATACAAACATAGCCAAGATTAGATAATCACATGGTTTAAAATTTATAAAATCAACTTTAGAATCTTCATGTAAAATAAAATAGCGTAGATTTAAATAATCTAATTTACAGATTATGTAAAAGCAAATCAAACTCAACAGTAATTGACATATATCTACCACAAGAGGTTGTGAGGTTGATTACCAAATTACAAAAATTTCAAGCATATCTCATACATTCAAGTTTCAAGACATGGCAAAAGATTAAATTTGTTCAAATTTTAAACTTATGAAATTGATCTAACAACCAAAACAGATATATAAAAAGATTTAACAAAATAAAGTCAAGGAAAATACACAGGTAAACAAATATTTAACAGAATACTAAATGAGACTAAAAAAACTACTCAATTCTTTAGCATAGGAGGAAACGCAGAATTAACTCTCCTACTCAAATCATAATATACATTTTGTAAATTGAAAAATAAAGAAGACTCCAAACCTTTAGTGATAATTCTACCGGGATTTTGGAGGAGGAATAACCCTGCAATTTCACTTGATGAATTTCTTAGAGCTATTAAAAAAAAAATAAAAGAAAGAATTGGAGTACAAAAAGTAAGATTAAAAGCCTCCTCCATGATTTGTGTCCCCTTCAAGAAAATCTATCCAAAAATGAAGTCAACGTGCAAAGGAGGAAAAGAGGAAAAAGAGAGAGATAGTGGGGGAGAGAAAAAAATAAATAAATAAATAAATAAAAAATCTAATCCTTACCCTGTGAGTGAAGGGGGAGAAATAATAAAAAAAAAAAAAAAAGAAAATAGAAAAAAGGAGAAAAATAGAACGTAGAAGAAGATTAGGGATGAGAAAAGGAGGAAGTTGAGAGATGCCGAAAAATGGTGGAAGAGTAGCTAGAGAAGAAGGGTGGAGAATAGAAATATGGAGACAGAAAAGAGGACAGATAAAAAATTCAGGGGGAAGTAGTTGGGAGGCTAATTTAAAAAAAAAATATATATATATATATATAAAAATAACAACTTCAAATGGGACAAAAAAGTTAGTACCATTATTTAATTTTGGTATTAAATAGAATAATAATAAAAATATTGGACTAAAAAAAATAAAATAATTAAATAACATGAATGAAATGAAAAATAAGCTGACGGTGCTATCAATTGGTTTTGAAACTACTTAGATAGTTGTAATCTATTCATTCTAAACTCTTTATTATTAACCTCAATCCTTACTCTCTCCTTCGGACTCAAATGGTTTTAAATAAGTGGTTTTAAATGCAATAAATGATTTCAAATTCTTTATAAATCATGAAATGAATATAATGAAATTTATTTTCATTTTCCGGATAACCATGGTAAAGGAAAACAAAATAAAAAGTTAACTGAGTTAGGCTTTTAATTTAAATTTATTAATTAGATATTAAAATATGACCAAGTTAAATAAGTAATTTATTTAGAAATTGTATAAAATCCTTCTAAATCCGAGAATTGAATCAGAAACTTTTTTTAAACGTAAAAACATGATTTAAGATTTCAAAACGTTTTTCATGTGATAACAAACCTGAAAATTTATTTGAAATTTGTGAAGATTTCAAACCCTTAAAATTTTGAGGTACCAAATAGATCATTAATGAATATTCAGGCCAACCCATGATTTTTTTCTGGTATTTTTAGGTTTAAATATTGGGTCCATGTACTTTTAGCATGAGTTTATTTTGATATATGCACTTTTATAACATCCGTTCTGGTCCATATATTTTTTTAACTTTTGTTCGTTTTAGTCTCGATCGGTATTTTTAAAATGTCCAGTCTGATCTCTGAAATAGTTTATCTCATTTATTTCTATCGCAATTTTAGCTTCACACTTCATTAACTAAATCTCTTGAAATATAGCAATAATTTTGTGTTAAAAGAATTTTTAGTAGATATAAAATTTATGTTAAAAATTTACAAATATGAATTAGAATGGTCATCTTTTCAAAGTATAAGGACAAAAAACGGACGTTCTAAAAACATATAGACTAAAACGGATGTTCTAAAAGTATATGGACTAAAATAAACTAAAATTTTAAACAGTACCAAAGTGACGTGGTAAAAATTGAGGAACGTACTAAAATGAACTAAAGTCAAAAGTGAAAGAAGTATTTAAACGTTTGAAGAGGGGATCACTATTTCAGACAATCTAAAAAGTAATTTTAACTTTTTTCTTTTTATATCTTTTCATAATTCTTCAAACTATTTTTTTAATAAAAAATATTAAAAAAAATACTTTAAGCTAATTTAAAATCACTTTTTACCATTTCCATTATTCTTTAAAATTTTAACCAAATACAAAAAATAATTTGCATCTTCTTATATTTTGTATCTTATTTTTTAAAAGTTACTCCGCGTTTTTTTAATTAAGTTTTTTTATGAATAATACGTACCTCCTAACCGGTCAATAGGAATCTTCTTCCAATTGTTGATTGCAAAAAAAAGTAGTAATAATAATAAAAAAAAGAAATTGGTACCTATTTATTTTTTGAAGAAAAAAAAGTAAAAATCGGTCTTCCCTCTCTACTTGAAAGAATTTTACCCACACCACCATTAAATATCTGACAACTAAGAGAGAGAAATGCAAAATCAAAAAATGTTTTTAAAAACTGATGAGTTGTCAGATATTTATTTAATGGTGGTGTGGACAAGATTCCTCATTACGAGCCAAGTATTACGAGCCAAGTATTTTCCATGGTAGTAGGCAAAAAATTCATAGTGACAAGCAAGATTTTAAATATTGATGTTGATAGAAATGTCGAGATCTCAATTTTACGAATATGTCAATAAAAATACCGACAAAATGTCGATATTGATGGATATTTATAGAAATGTTATAAAAAAATTGTAAAAGATATTTCAATTAACAAATAATAATTTCAACCTTTCCAAATAGGTGAAAAATGATTAATATTAATATTATATCTATATTAGTGATTTTTTATATATATTTAATATTTTATCGATTTTTTTAAATAACATGCAAATATCGATTATATTTACTACCTAAAAATGTTGATATGTCGACAGATATTTTATACATGGTGACGAATCTAAGTATTATTATTCTTTTTATTCATTGTTTGACAAAATGTATTTCATTGATCTTTGACCATGATAGTGGAATCCATGGCTTGTAACTTGTATACGAAGGAAAAAATTAACATAAAAAAGGAAGAGACATCTCGAAGAGAAGGAAACTTTTATTAGAAATGTACAAAATAACATTCTTTGAGATAAGATTCTCACACACTCTAACCTCAGTTGCTTTACAATAATAGGTAGCGACATCTCTCCTATTTATAGACAAATAATCCTTGAAGTCGAAGCAAACAGATCTTTCTAGGCTCTTGTATGTATTCTAGATATTTCTTTCTGCAAATCTATTCCTATCTTAAACAACTCTCTAAAATTCCTCAAAGTCCAAAGAATATTTATTAAAGATAGAATATTACTATAACATTTACTTTGAATATTTATTTATAATATTCGAGATAAATCTAGATAAAGACTATCTAAAACATCTATGTAGATACCGTACCTCGAGAAAGTTCTAGATATGGTTAGTGTTGTATTTTATTTTTAACAATAGAGGTATATATTTTGAATCACTATTCTTTAATTTCCGATGTAATATTCTAAAACTCATCGAACTCGTCCTAGCCTAGCCTATAAATGACATGATGATGCATGCAAAGGGAAAACAAGCATTGTTATTGTGGTTAAGCTATAGTATTTATATTAGCCTTTAATAATAGTTTTAAAGCTAATTATAGAAATAAATTAAGCATAGTTCTATGCATGAGCTATGAACCCTCTGCCATTCATTTTCCCAAAGGAAGAAAATCAAGTTTTAAGATCACATTAAAACTTCTCAATGTTCTGCAAAAACTCTCAAGGTACCACAATAATGACTATTTTTGACACTTTGAGAACAACAACGGTTGCCTTGTTGTATATATATCTCTTAGGCTCTAAAGAAGAATTGTTGTCATACTCTCCGTTCTTTCACTTCTCCTTAGCGGGTTCATTCACTTCATCTTAAAAGTATCATTTAAATAGAAAATGCCTATGACTGTTCTGGCCCATGTCGAAGTATCACCATGACCCTACAACTAGACACCACCGACACTTTGAATTAGAACATCAATTTAAGTCATAGTACCACAACACTATAGAACAGTACTGCGACTCTTTAAATGACGCTTGGACAACCGAAGTATAGTGTCTTGACACTACCATTTTGGCTTCTTAGCTCAATCAAGTGCTGCAGTGCTCATTTGATCCCTTTCTCTATTTCCTTTAACTTGGACGTTGAAAACGACATTCAAACGAGTCTTCTTTATGATTTGGACTCCACAAAGTTGAAAATGTGGCTCATAACTTTAACTTTAGTGAAAGATTGACTCATAATGTGATGAGAGTTTAAAGAGAGATCATTGAGATTCTCTCATTAGATTTTCCTCTAATTTGAAGTGGGATCTTTTAGATCATCCGGAGAAATATTTATTTTTTAAAAAAATGAGAAAAATGTAATCTTGATGAAAATATTATTTTTAATTGTTAGGGATGACGAAGAAGATAATATTACTTTACTAGTTTTGCCTAACTTTTTTTAAAAAAATAATTGTTAGATAAAGATGTGGCGTAAAGCACAATGAGTTTCATGCTCCTTCTCTAACTAGAAAAAAATAGTTAGCTATTGAGAAAATTTGGCTAGCTACCAGAGGAGATAGAAAAAATAAAAATTGGGTGAGATAGATTAAAAAGAAAAAAAAAATAGAGAACGGAAAAAAGAAGTGCAAGAAAAGAAAAATAAAAAAGAGAGAGCAAAAATATCACGTATTTTTCATTCTCCGTCCCACTCCCTTTGCAAGCTCTCAAATGTTATGTCATTCTGTCAAAGCACGTATACTACAGCAATAATTAGTATATATTTCCAATTAAAAAGTCCTACATGTTATACTAGAAAAAATGTTACGTTGGTTTAGTAATTTAATGATTCTATCATAAATTTTCAATGAATTAATTATATTAAAATCATCGAAAGTAAGCATAATTTTTTAAAAACATGTAACTAAAAACGAAATGGTTATCCATGAGTACTAAATTTATTGTACTTAGAGATTGATGTAGTCATTGAACTATAACGATGGATTGTTTAATTTTCTTGATTTAATGATTTTGAATGTTCTGTTTATGTTTCTCTACACTGCATGCTTTAGTCTAATAGGTCTTCGATTTATTGATCTTAATATTTAAAATGTTATGCTCGGAAATAGTTTTGAGATTGAGATATTTAGAAGGTCATTAAAAGACTTATAACATTAAATCATTCGCTTTATTGAAACTAGGTTCGAACATTGGTGTCATAATTAGCAAGGAGAATTAACTCGCACGGTTGAGAAAATAGAGAGTTCTTAGTCTATAGATCAATAGTTTATTTAGTCTTGAGTAATTAATTAATTAGTTCACATATCCATACGAGGTGAAATCAATTCCTAAGATGTCTTTCATCTTATTCATTTACTCATTATTCTTGCTTGTTTATTTATATTAATTCAATCTTTCTCCCTAATTTGGTTCTCTAAATAAAATGGTGCAATAGTATGTGTGGTAGCAAGTGATATAGAAACCAAATTTAGAGAATGATATCGTATTCACTTACCATTATATGGTGAACTGTGACCGATGATTAACAATTATTTAGTTTGACTTGATATCCTCATGGACAACTTTGTTTTACTTGAATTTTTGTTTTTGTTTTATTTTAATATTTTTTTTTATTGATATACCATTTTAATTTTATTGATAAAAGGATATCGATGATAGACCAAATAGTGTTACCTTTAAGGCTTGAATTAAACCAAATATG